GAATGAATATTCATTAATTTTGCTCAGTGTACCTACTTTATTCAACAATAATGCGTCATCAACCAGCTTCGCCTATTGTTTGCATCCAACTAAATAAAATTTGTTGCTCTTCTACTCTTTCTGTTGACGTTCGGATTGTGTACGTGTAAGAAGCCGATTGTGTACATATGAAAGGCCGAATATAGTTCGTTTCCCAGGAAAGTGTTTGGCGGGCACTGCTCTAAACACAAACTCGTTAAAGGGAAACGGTCTAGCAATGCGTGGCAGTGTTGATGAACTTAATATTTTAATTAAACATACTTGTTATTAAAATTTCATTTTAAAAATAGCACTGCGTCCTACTGTGATAGAAATATCTGTGGTCACACGGCATAACCGCACAACTCGAGTTATGTCGAAATAGAGTTAATATAATATTTGGAATCTCCGTATCCGATTTCATATTGTGTCAAAATTTTACGGAATTTGGTTCAAGGGCTAACTAAATGTTAAGGATAGAAAAATAGCATGATTCAATAATACAAGGTTCGATAAACTGTCTCTCTCGCACCGCTCCCTTAGCAGCGGCACCGTGCTGCTTCTTTGCAAATTCACTTGGGAAAAGTGTAGCTTTGGTGTGAATTAGAAGAATAAGCTTTTGTGCAATATGTTTATTTGTATATGCATATGAAACACACTTAACTGATTAAAACATAGATTGTTTTTAAATTGGATGTTTACTTAAATCTCATAGTAGTTTTATTTTAATTCTGAGTCCTTTTGCAGTTTTTATACAGCTAAATATCACATAAATTACGTAATTCACGTAGATATATTAATATATCGTTCAATATTTAAAATGCCAGATTTCCTGCAAATACGTTGGAATTTACAAAAGGAATTTCACTACTAATTGCCTACTTTGCGTAATTTTCTACTCCCATTTTCGCACCAAGGGATTTCATTATTCTCCTTTCTCCATCCTTCGCAAATGCAACCTTTTGACCGCGGCTGTCAATAATTATCTAACCTTGTATTATTGAATCATGGAAAAATAGCACATCTCAAATTTGTTGCTGTTAGCACAGGGAATAACAACACATCTCGGTTCGTGAATAACGGTTCATTCTCACTTCACTTATGTCTTTATGCTCAGTTCAAGTTTAGCAAGCGAAGAGGTTGGTTGTACGATTTTTGTGTGCGGAAAAATTGCATATCTGACTTGTGCTTTTAATCCATAATATGTTTATTGCTTGATTTTTTGCACAAGTATACTTGTGTTCTTGTGCCAAGCTATTCTTTATTCTAACGAATTAAATAACTGAACTTATGTCTATGTTCCATAATACGATTTTTATCATTTGGAAACATAACAAGAGATTTGCTATTTTTCCGAAACAGTAAGTTTATAGTGAACAATGTAAATTGACTTGATTGATTATACCAACTGCTAGCCCCCAAAATTCATAAAGTAGTGTTTTTATTCCACACTATATTTAAATTGAAACAGCTAGCCAATGGAGGAAAAAGGTAAGTTAAAATAGGAAATTAGGCACTTAAGTTACACGCTAATTTTCCTGTATAAAATTCCATGTCACATTTAAGACTCTCTATTTTTAACAGAATCACGTGAGCTGTTTCAATAGTCTTTCGAGAAAAAACATTTTCAGATGAGACGGGGTAGTCTCTGGAGAAGGGGTCCAATACACATCTTTACGGACGGATCGAAGCTGGAAGGTAGAGTTGAAGGAGGTGTCTACTGTCAGGAACTCTCAGTAGATCTTACTTTCAGACTGCGGGATCTCTACAGCCTTTTTTATGCAGAGGTGGCCGCTATAAAAGAGGCAGCCGATTGGTTATGCACCAATGTACTGTCAACAAGGAGGGTAAATATATACACTGATAGCCAAGCGTCACCCACGGTGCTGGGATCGCTAATGGTGTGTTCAAAACTGGTTGAGGAATGCCTGGCCTCTCTCTCAACTGCCTCGGAATACTTCCAGATCAGGCTGAACTGGGTCCCGGGGCACAGTGATATCGCGGGAAATTGCAGGGCTGATGAACTGGCCAGGCAGGGCACCCTTGAGGCCATCACCTCGGACAGGGAGGTCATTGGAGTTCCGTTGGCAACCTGCGGCCTGCTTTTGGACAGATGGGCTTAGGGTCGGCTCAGCGAGCGCTGGGGAAAAACCTCGACTTGCAAAGTTGCAAGGTCCTTCTGGCCGGTTGCGGACCGCGGGCGGTCAAGGGAGCTACTGCACCTGGCTAAGCGTCAGCTCTCGATTTTCACAGGTGTACTGACCGGACACTGTCCAATGGGAACCCACGCGGTGCGACTCAATATCCTCACGGATCCCTACTGCCGCCGTTGCCTGCAAGACGAGGTGGAATCATCTCAGCACTTCCTACTCAACTGCCCGGCATTCGCTAGATTGCGGTTCAAGCATCTCGGTGCGCATTTCATCGACTCTCCCGAGGGGCTCTCCGGAGTGGACGTCAGCTGTTTGAAGAACTTTATTATGAGCACCCAGCGCTTCTTGTAATTTTTACGCAGTTACCGTTCAAACGAATTTCTCCCTTATGTAATGTGGTATCACAATGGAAAACCAAATGTCTAAGTGAATCCCCTCTGCGGCTCTGCCCCCGTAACCTAACCTTACCTAAGTGTGGTAAGCAACTTTACAAAAATTTAAAAAAATCATGGCACAGTGACAATCATAAGCGACAACAAAATATATGGCAGCATCTTCATTCATGCCAGAAGAAATCGCCCGTCGTGCGAGAAACATGGTTTTTATTAATTTGAATCGGCATCCTTACAATAAAATTATGTATGCATATAAAGTCCATAAAATACACCAATAAAAATTTGGTGCTTTTTTAAATTCAAAACTTGGCAATACTGCCTTTTGTTCGATGCTTTTTCTTGTTGAGTTCGTGTTGCTCTCTCATTCTGGTATTTGTTGACGTCACGGCCAGTTGCTCTCACCTCGATTGGTGCAATCTTGTATTCTTGGTTATTTATTCTGTATGCTACTACAGCGATTTAAAATAAGGTTTCTGCTGCGTAGCGGCAACTTTTTTTCACGAACTTCAAATTTATGAAATAAAGGAAAAGAAGAAGATCAATGTATGTATGTATGCCACACCAAGAAGCTTACAGTGAGCATACTGTGGTGAGCATGTGCCGATACCGCAGCAAGCAGCATTTTGAAGTAAAAAAAAACAAAATTGCCAAGCGAAATACACGATGTACAGCAGTCATGCCCAGCGCGGGGCACTTGCATATGGAATTCTGCCAGCGCAGGGCACTTGCTTATGGAGTTCTGCCGACGTTGGGCATGACTGATGTACAGTGTTTGTTTGTTTTGAACGCAGCGCTGCTTGTATATACATAAATTTCGCTTTGCGTGCAGCGCTGCTTGTACATAAATTTCGCTTTGCGCATACCTGAAGCTGGCAAAGGCTATTTTTTTACTTTGCGCTATGCTAGATGAGTATAAAAAATTATAATATAAAAAACCAAAACCTCGCTATTACAATTTCCATTCGTACTGTGATCAGGTTACTTTAAGAATGGAAGTTTAAAGCAATTCCCATTCGTAATGTCATCAGGTATATAACTTGAGAAAGGAAATCGCTGCATCTTTTAGGCGCATCAATATTACATAGTTACATCCCGAGCTAATAAAAGCGAGGTAAAAAGAGAAGAGAATATTGAGAAATATGT